TTTTATGAGGTTAACACGTCATTTTCATCATTAGCTTCTTGTTTAATCCTAGCATAGGAGCTCCTTTACATGAGCCTTAGCAAACCCTCAGTAATTATGCGAACCCTAAACTGGAAACTAAACCAAACCTAAAACTAAATTAACAAATCTTATGTTGTTCGAAATGAACTCAAATTGAATCAACTCCCTTAAAGTGAAGTTGAGTCAATCACAACTAGATTATTAAGGAAAAGGGTAAACCAAATTTTCCCATAAGAATCAAGACTATTGCAGTTTTCTTGGCTTGTCGTCGTGCTTGTAATTATATTATATGAGATGTATCATGCACGTGTTAAATTCTATTGTGATTTTTCAGCGCACTTTTACATGGATTTGTGCGTGTGAAGCATATGTTCATGAAATTTTCACCAACATAAATGTTTTCATTAAAACACCATTTCGTAAAACGAAGCACGTTCTGATCACTGAGTCACGTTTGTGTCCAAATCAGACGTCATTGGTGATCGTCAGGGAGATAGGAAATTAATGGCTTTAATAATAATAATAATTATCATGAAAAAATAACTGATAATATAGTAATGACTTGACATTGATTCATGATGCTAGATATAGAATGGTGATATCAAATTCTAGTTTTGATGATGCATATCATATCATGACTTTTTGAGTCTACATGTTGTTTATGCTTCATTTTAGAATAGATAACTTAGACATATATACATCATATACTCATATACATATACTAGGGTTTGCCTGCCTTTCCTACATTTGAGCTTGATCAACATCTCACATACACATGCAATTAGGTGGGTTAGTTGCATTTCTGACTAAGCATGATGTGAGCCCAATATTATGGATTTCAGTCATTGGTGTGGTCATGTTGTAAGTTCCAACTATTTAATTTTTTGTGGTTGAGAAGATTCTCAATCCTTAGGGTATAGTCAGGTGCCTCCTTCTGGGGATTATGGAATATAAATTTCGTCTATTTGCTTAGGATTTGTCTTTAACACCCAATTTTGAGAATTCGAGTAAAAATTTTAGCACTTGTAATACATATCTCTCAAAATTCGATTGAATCAATTTAATAAAATTCTAAATGTCGAATCAAGCCATTTGATATATAACGCCAAAAAATTGACATTTTATATATAACGCTAAAAATGAATTTTTAACGCATGAGAAGATATGTAATTATGAAGTTAATAAAATCTTAATTAATTCTAATCCTTGACACTGTTTCCAGCTAAATCCCTCTCTCGCACTAAAACGCACATGCAGTGGCTTGATAGGATCATAGGGTTGTGATTCATGAGGACTAGGTTAAATGTCGCATTCCCTGTTTTTGGTTTTGCATGCCTGGAGAGCTCATGCAATTTGACACTATAACACGTCGGGTGAGCGACTGGTTTGGGACACTATAACACATGAAGCTCTAAGAGTAAGGCAGTGAGTATAAATCTTTCTTTTATGATTTTTGTGGCAATCCCTTCAGTTCCCCTCCTACCACGTCCTTCTTCTCGGCTTGAAGGAACCCTCGACTCCAGCACTGCAGCTGTGGTCGGGAACATGCGCAGGCGGATACCGGAGGCCTGCAGACCTCTATTTGAAGCTCCGAGAAGAGATTAGTAAGTGAAAATCTCATTTTCGTGCTGACATTTGTTTTATTCCCTACATTTTTTTGGAGATTTGCTATGAATGATGCATTATCAGCTTTTCCTGCCACTATAGCTTTGTGTGAATAATAACGAAACTGTCTAACTAGTAAGTCCATTTCTCGAGTCAGGGAAGTGTTAAAGGGATAAGAGGAAGATGGACAAAAACAAGAATTATCAGAGAAGAGTTGGTTATGCTGATAAATTCTTTTGATATAATAATTCATAAATGAGTTCTTTTTGGGTTTAAGTCACATAATAAGCCAAGATTTTATGAAATCCTAAGAGGTTTATGAATCCCAAGTTATTTACAATAGACGAAGAGCTCGAGACGAGCTTGGGGAAACGCTTCGTAGAGTTGTTCTATCAATTTAGGTGAAAAACTTCTGTGCTAACTTAAGAAAAATAACCTTATGTAGGTTTTCATGTGATTATATGTTTGACACTATTACGTCTATAAGCCTCTTGATATTGTTGTTGAATATCTGCATAAATTTTATGAATGCAAATCTGAGTCGTTGTTTTCAATATCTATGATTTCATTATATAAATATGCTTATTATTGCACAAAAATGAATATAATACATATTTATATAACAATTATGATTTCCTGCATTACATGTCTTTTCTTTTACACGTTTTTTACGATTATAGCATGTTGTGACAAGTTTTGTGGATATGTATATGAGTTATACATGAGCATGCACGTAGTTGCTTTTTGTTTATAAAATATTATTTTAGTCTTGATTATGTCGCTGAGCTTGTTATAACTCACTATATGTTATTAACTTTCAGGAAATGGTAAAAAATGCCATGGCGAGTAGCCATATATGACTTATACAGCTTTTGCATTATAGTTTTGGGCACATATTTTTATTATGTTGGATTTAAAAGCTCTATATACATGTTATGATGATATGATTTCCACACTTACAAATATATGTAAATTTAAATCATTTATAAAGGAAATGTATCATGTTTGTTTAAGACATTTTAGTTAGATTAGTTCACACCCACTGGGTCCTGATCTTGTAAGTTAAGACTAGTGTAGGTGAGAATTTTGTTTGACCAAATCGTCCGCCACTATTGCGCTGTAGTTGACCTTTAAGGGGGGCTAGTTGGGCTTTGACATTGGCCCCATTTACACATCCAACTTTATGAGGCCTCCTTGGACAACACAATAGTGATTGCTGACAATGATCATTTGGTTAGAGAAGAATGATCATCTTTTTTATGCTAAGGAGACTAGCAGCTACGATAACCCATAATGATAGACAACCATGGGATTTTAATTGGGGCTGTCCTTCTATCTCTTAGGTTACCTTATCATTTCCTTGGGATTAATCAGCCGTGTCATAAGTTAGAGCTTACAATTTAGGTTGGTCTTTCTTTTTAGGAAAATCACCATTTCTTCTGGGATAGTAAGACCAACCAATATGTTAGCTTTCTTCTCTTTTAAGATAGACTTTTTTCTTTAAAATAGTCCAATTTCTTTAGGTCGTCATCCCCAAGATCATTTCTCATTATCCTGCTCTCCTTTCCAACTTTATGTGTTGACCATCTTTTCGTTTTCTAATGGCTTCCCCGAACTACAATTTCGATCCTTTTTTGATGATGCAGTCATTGTTTGAAATTTCAAAATTTAAATCTCATGATTTTTGAGATTCTTTTCCTTGGCTTTTATTCTCTTTCAATGTCCTTGTATCAAGATTATATTTTAAAAAATTAGAGCAATTTGCTTATTATAGGAAGAAGGATGTCTCTGTCTTTAGGATTTAGATTATTGAGTTCATAATCCGAGGACCATGTCTCCCGCATGTTAAGAGTTTTACCCATATCCTTCACTATCTCCTACATTCATATCTACCACATCATAATCCCCAACATACTTGAGGATTTCTCCATCTTTGCCTTTATTAAGGATTGCCTATTTGATTATGTTTTGATGATTATAGGTTGACTCATCTTTATTTTGAGTTCTTATATTCTTCATTGGATGCAATTAATTATCATGAAATAAACACAACTTAAACACCCCAATTTCTTAATCGAGAGTTTTTTTAGGCATCTTCTAAGATGTAATTAACTTGAAGAACAATGTTTTTTTGCAAACTTTAAAACTAGAATCTCTAAATTTAAAATGACAAGAACATCTACGTGGATTGAAATTTTTGGCTTGTATTTATTATGACTTTGTAGAGTAGATTTGTCCTAGATTAGTCCTCTATTGTAATTCATTGATATCATTTAAAGCCAGTATTCCTCTAATTTTAAATCCTGCTTCCTTCTAAAAAGAAAAAAATGAAAAAAAAGAAAACTTTGTCAAAAACATTTTCAAGTATCATTCATTTGATTGAGCAAATGTTGTCCATTTAAATTCGGAAATATGTTTTTTCGAAAGCTATAAGGATGTATATATCATCTTTTTGCCTTCCCCTATCTTAGTGCTTTGCATTGCAACACAATCCTTTGTGTTGTGATTACACTCTCGATCATTCACATAACTTGTTCTTTTCCCTTATCGTAATGCAATGTTGTCTATTGTTCGCGTGTTCGCGTGTCAAGGCTTGCTTGAACTTCCTCGGTTGTTTGTCACTTTTTATGGTCCTTTTTTAAAAAAATTTAATTATTTATTCTTTTTTTTTTTCATGTTAATTCGCACTTGTGATTACCATTTAAGTGCTTCTTCGTCTTGTTTTTACTCATGAAATATGTAGTTGGTAGAATAGAGAGGAAAATGGGAGATTTTTATTTGATTTTCACAGGGAATTGTTTGGTATTCCATCCTAGTTCTTTCTTTTTCTTTGGAATTGTGTTCAGTTCATGTTGAGCATACCTTCCTTCTTTAAGTGTTCTTTGCTTCATTCTTTGTTTTTTTAAATTCATTAACTTAATCTACCACACAGAGCCTTTAGATTATTTTTTGTTGTTTTATTTTTCCTGCCTTCGCTTCTGAGAAAATGGCAAGGGGTCATCTTGTTGCATTATTTTTGACAGACAATTAAATAGCTTAAATATTCAGAGTACATTTCACTTAATTTACTTAGCATTTTCAAAATGCCTGAGTTCAAAATACTTGCAACCAAATAATCCTGTTAGAAAAATTTATGTTTCACTATGAAATGAATTTTGGCAGCTATATGCTGGAGAATATTAAAATCAATTTGGAGCACAGTATTTTTCCCCTGGTTGTACTTGATAGTTGAGACACGTTACTATGGAAAGGGAGAGGGCACTGTGACTTCTATATTACTTACTGGTTTTTTTTCTTTTATTTGTGGTATCTTGTGCACTTTCATGCGTTTTTTTTATCTTCTAGTTGAACTTTGGTTGTATTCAAATTATCAGGATTGAACTTTTGATTTTCCTTGGAAGAACCTTGCTGCTGCATCCTCTGCGTGAAGCTGAATTGTTGAACATGAAATCAGGCCGACAGAATCGAACAATAAGCGATCCATCTGCAAAGGATAAATCCAAGAAATATGATAAAACAGCGCTGGAGATATCTGTGAAAGGTGAAGGAGCTAGAAGATCTAGCTGCAGGAAATCTGGAACCTTAGCTGGGAAGGTTTCTAAACAGAGACGCACTACTACAGGTAATACTCATTGATATAATGAGTTGCTCAACTTGTTTATTTAATGTTTATATGTATTTAACTTTATCATGTTTTCAGTATTTGCTAGAAGTTTCAACTACTTTTGTTGTTAGATCTAATTGAAATCAGTTCTGTTTCACTTTTAAGATTGATATTATTACCGCTACAAATCTGTACAACCTTGTCTATTGATTGCTACAGAATTAAGTTATGCCATATTGCCTTTTTTAGCATCCAACATGTACCTTTTGTTTTCTTGTGTAATCCTTCAGATTGCATTCTGGTTACCTGTTGAATTGGAGCAATGTGTAAATTTGAAAGGTTAAATTTGTCTCCCAACCAGACAATGTTACAGGCGTCCTGCCATAAAATATATCCTTTTTTTTGGTGACAAGTATAATTTCTTTTTCCATAATCCCGGTGTTCCTGAAAAAGATCGAATTTTATTAACTAAAAGCTAGTGTCAATGGATATTACTTGCATTTACCTCCCACTTCATTTCATCCAGAGTCTTCTGTGATTACATCTATTAGCACTCCAAATTGGCCTCTGGAAGTTTCCACTCCCGTGGGAATGCAATCTCTTCAGAGTCCAAAGTTCCAGCTTCAGTTGTTTCCTATGGATGATCCTACTCGCAAGCGGTTAGAGGAGGTGAAAACCTGAAAATTGCCTTAATTGTTTCCTTTTTCTCTCGCCAAAGTAACTAGAACTATTTTAATATGAAGTGTAATTTGGATTAATTAGGAGTATAATTTGAATTCATGTGTATACTTTACAGAATAATCATTGCCCTTACTTGGAGCTAACTATAACAACCAAGAAGAAGATAGCCTCAGTAATTAGACATCTTAATATGAAGTGGGGAAATTCCAGAAGTGCATTGGAAGAGCTCTTTCTCTTTCCTTATAATGCCCGTGTGGAAAGCCTGGAGAGTTATAGAAGATGGACTTCAAAGGACTCCAATATCACAGCAGCTGAAGTTCATGCCGCCATTGGTAAACCAGCCGTTTTTAGATTAAGGTTTTACTTTCTTTTCCTGCCTCTTTCCAATTTGAGCGTATTAGCAAGTAACTTCAGATACCCTGACTTGCTTCTTTTTATTTAGGTATGGATGGCTAAATATTCTTGAGCAAAAAATCAGCAACTTCTCTCAAACATCCCCCAATTTGGCTAAAATTCAGGAGAAGGGTGTGGATGATCTGGAAAATGTGCCATGTAAAGTAAGCCAAGAATGCAAACCTTTGCTAGCGGAATCACCGCTGAAACAAGATGCTCTACAAACTGCCCCCATGAAAACAACTCAAGCAGAGGTACTTGATGTTTCTACGAATTATCTAATTATGATTAGGGGCGTTTAAATACACACTGCACAATTCTTATGTATTTACATTTGCGCTTACTCAAGTGCAAGTAATAGGAAAAATATAAAAACAAAACTTTCTTATTTACACGCATTGCACTAAAATCTTTATTATCACATAAATAATAGTACAATTACGCCTTTTTACAAAAGGAAATGCACCTTTTCGTGCTTTTTAAAGCACACAAAATGCTATGTATGTAAATATGAAAGTTTAGACATAAGAATTGTTTGAAATACATAAGAATTGTTTGTACAGATGTAAAATTCCCTTATTATTATTAGCTTCAGATAATACTTGCTTTTCTTCTGAACTATTTTTCTTTATATTTCCTCATATTAATGGAACAAAAGGATAATCTGAGGCCTGAGAATGATGTGAAACATCCGTGGGTGGTTGATTGTGTTTCAAGTATGAGCTTTGGAGCTCTATATTCTAAATTAGAAACAGCAGAAGGTTCTAATCTTAGCCGTCAAGCTTCTCAGAAGACCTTTTTGACCAACTCTGATTCATTTGATGCCTCAATTGCGGCATATATGGCGAGATATCATACAGGAAACCAATCCACCACAATAGCCCAACCGTCTATTCTAGATGCTGAAGAGACTTGCAATCCTTTCTCGTTTCATAAGTCCACTTCTTTGAACAAAAATTGTCGAGTTCAGTCTCAAGTGCCTCCTGTCTTCTCAGCAAGTGAAGCTTCTCAGAACCATGCACGACTTAACATGGTAAATATTTGCTTATTTGCTTTGCGGCCATGAACAACTCTATGTTTTTGGGTCATTTACATACATACCCCCTAATTCCTATGTATTTACATATCTAACATTTAAAGTTTGTTTTTTTACATGTATGTGACCCAGATCTCATATATTACCATCATTTTAACATGTAAATACACCTTTTAATGCATGGGTAAAGTGGATTGCACCTAAAATTTAAATTTTAGGTGTTAGCTGGGTAAATAAATAAGAATTAATGGTATATATGTAACTATTTCGAAGTTTTTTTAAAATGCAAATATTAATGAATTTTTAACTGATTATCATCAATTTTGCAGCTAATTCCTCCTGTTGAGGAACTCAATACGACATTGAAACGTGAAGATGATGCACAGCCTATCCAAGAGGAGAATAATCAGCTTAATTTGGATCGGCAAGGTGATAAACAAGAGAAGGAAGAAAATCAGGTCGATCCAAATGCGACAGATATTGTAAATAACCAATTTGAAGGACTTGATGCGCACTGGGTATACTTTCATTCTTCCCAAATGTTTTCTCATGCTTATATATTCGTCTTAATCGACTAATGGCTTGTTTGGGATCGCTTTCTTTATTCTTTTTTGTTTTTAAAATATGTTTGTTTAGTAGTTTTTTATATATCTTTATTTTTATTTTTAAAAATTAATTGACATGTTTTTAAAAACACTCAATACAACTTTTGGGTGCTTTGAATCTTTTAAAAAACAATCATATTTTAATCAAGCATGCCAAATATATTTTGTTTCAAATCAAAATATAAATAAAACAAAGTAAAAAATAAAAATTACAAAACATAAAACAAAAGTGATCCCAAACTGGCTCTAAAATTTTATCATTTATGTCATTGTGCAGCCACCTTCAGTTAGCTCCTGGCAATTTCTACCTCCTCAGCAGATTATTAGCAGCGACAGCAATGGCCTCAGTGGGTTTGCCTCCACCAGTCTGGACATATTTTAGGAATATATATATATATAT